ATCAGTACGGAGGAGAGAAGAGCTGGGGAGATGCCGGTGGCAAGGATTGTGTGTTCTTTATGCTAAGGTTGCATACAGAGCTAGGTCCAGATATTTAAGCTGCTAGATATTATCTCTAAGTTGTCTGCAATGTATCTGCGAATTTATCAATCGCCTCTTTGAAAACTGACAAGTGTAGCGATCGTTGTTGTGGGGCAATCTCCAAAAACTGTCGGTGAGTAGAAAATCAGGGCCAGAATTCTTTATTCTTTATTTGGATCCCCATTAGCTTCCACCTCAGTTGTTGCTAATCTTTCTGGGGTTCACAACAAAAATCAAATCATTACAAACACAAATATAAAAACATGTCAGTTATGCAGACACTGACTGACACCTTGTCAGTCTAGACAAAGTTACAAATTAAAACAGACTAATCAAAGTGACATATAACTTAAACCTTACATATACAGAGGTTATCACACAATTCATGTACCAGGATTTAAACTGACTGTGGTTCTGAATTAAGAAACAGAAAACAAAAACAAAAACCATAACAGTTAGTATCCTTCCTCCTGTGTTGTCTCTCTCATTAACAAAATTGTTAAGTGTAAATTGCCATTAGCCATTTACCGTAAAACTTATATTAAAAGCCTAGTCCCTATGAAACACCCAGTCCCTTTTACTAGCCCGGTGTAGCTACACATTTTGACAAATAAACACCTGTCTCAATTAGACACCTGGTCTGGTTGCCAAGCAGTTCATTTTTATAGAACTTCTTCAGATGTTCAAAACTGGATTGTTGACCACCCACTAATGTTAGTTAGCTGTTAAGATCGTGCATACAAATATAATGTTTAAACTTTTGTCAATATACAGGGCGTCGGTAGCGTAGTGGACAGTGGATAGTGCCGATGCCCCATGTACAGAGGCATTGCCTCGCTGCAGTGGTTGCGGGTTCAAGTCCGGCCTGCAACCCTTTGCTGCGTGTCAGTCCCCGCTTTCTCTCTCTGTCTCCCCATTTCACACACTGTCCTATCCATTAAAGGCAAAAGCCCACAAAAAATAATCTTAAAAAAAAAAACTTTTGTCAATATGGAGATGCTACACATTGTTAGCTTGGTTCAGTTCATTCATTCACCAAAATCAAGAGCACCAGAGAAGATTGTAAGATCATCTCATCTCTTCTCTTCTCTTCTCTTCTCTTCTCTTTTATGTGATTGCAAACTGAACATCTTTGGGTTTTTAACTGTTGATTGTACAAATCAAGACATTTGAAGATGTCACTGTGTGCTGTAGAATATTGGTACTGCTATTTTGCTATTTTCTGACATTTATGCCAAACAAATGAATCGAGAGAAAAAAATCAATCATGGAAATAATTGCTAGTTGCAGAGTTAACCCCCTTTATTATGATTTTGAAGTTCCTAACTATATGCTTGGATTTTACAACTCAAGTAGGCACTTTCAAGAAATAGACCGCGCCACGACAGCAGTATCTTTTTAAATTGTTTCTTTCCCTTTGTTGTCAAGTGGCACAGTGATGCTTACTACTGTCAGCTGCTGCACAGCTTTATGCCACACCATGCTGAATTGCATCCTGTTATGCTGTCCAAGTCTTTAGGAAACGGTGACATTTTGATACTTTAAAGGAATATTTTTTCAAGCAGCAGGCCACCGTCCCTCTCTGTTGTCTGTCTGCAGACAAAAAAATACCAATTTTGTCCTGCATCCCTTGAGGTGGCTCCCTCATTTCGCTGTCACTGCTGTCCTTTATTTATCACCTCTCTCTTTTGTCTCTCACTCCCACCCTTCTCCTCCTCTCTTCTCTTCGGCCAGCATCTCCCCGATTGTTGTCATGTGAAAATGATCTGATATGGATTTGATGGTGAGGGGACGATTTTGTAAACTGACTCTGAGGCAAGATTTTTCTCTCAGGCTGCATGTGAAATCACACCTCATCTGCCAAGACTGACAGAGCCCAAACCCCAGATGTGTCCATAACTCTACACTTAAGTGTGTATATCCTGAAACTAAACACAACATATTGATTGGAGGAGCTTGTTGGGGGACACTACGCAGCCTGGGAGTCCTGCTCCAAATGCTTAAGAGAGGACGAACCTACTTTACAGGATTCATTTCTCTCGGGAGAATCCAAGCAAGTGCTCATACGTGAAATCACCTGAAGGCTGAAAAGGAGGAGAATTGATGGAAAACGAATATCCTTGTCAGTCCCTCCAGGTATTTGCATGGAAATGCAAGAATTAATACAAATTCAGCCAATCCCTATAATATTTCATAGCTTGTAACTTTGTCTCACTCCTGAAAAACATGCTCTTATGATTTTGTAATTGGACGAATACTTGCACATTTTGCTACATAAAATGTTCTAATACTAGTTTTTGTAAGTTAAAGAATTAAAACACTTTTTATTTATTTAGTGTATTAATTATGTGTTTTACTGAGTGTTCAGTTCATGCAGAATTTTAATTTAACAGAGTGCAGCAATAATTTTGCATTTTAGATATTTTTACTGATCGATACTGCTCATCTCATGACTGCCAGCCATTTTCCAAAAATGTGTTTACCCTCCTTCCAGTCGATCACTGGTTTCTAATCACAACAGTGTAGTCTGACAAACAGCTTCCAAAGATTGAAAATTAAATGTGTGATAGACAATCTATCACAGTGAACGTTGTGTCTGCTTTTGTGGTTGTCAGAGTAGTGTTATCCCTTTTATTGTAAGTGCAGATTGATTTGGAAAGCCAGCAGACAGACACAATGCTCCCTGTGATGAATTTCCAAAATCAAGCCAGTCTCAAGTCAGTGATTTTCATAATGTTCTGAAATGAATAGAAACCAAATGATGCCTGGAGGAAGATAGGATAGTCACAATGGGAAAAAATCCAGAAACTCTGTAGCATGCTTTGGAAATGGTTGGCAGTAATTTAAAGTAAACGGGCTAAAATACGTTCACTGTCACAGCGCTTTAAGACTACAGTAAAAGCAGCTGGACTACGACAGTTCGAGCTCATTTCACTTTCACTGGAAGGAATAAAATCTCACTTTTTTCATGCTGGCTTTAAAATTCAAGTCTGATTTTAAACATTTGTGCCGGTTTATCACCACAACATGTCACACTCAGCACCACAATTAAAATAAACAATGCAAATGCCATCATTATGTCAGCTGCATAAACACTCTGTAGTGGAAAAACCCTTGAGTTGCTCTTGATTGGTTTGGCTGTGTTCAAATCAACTGCAAGCAATTTCTCTAAATGAGTTATTGCACATAATTGCTCTTAATTGTTTCTGTGAGTTTTCTTAATAGACAGCAGACTCCAATAATCTCTCCATTATCACAGTTAGCAATAATATCATTATATTTTCAGTTACCTTGCAGTTAGAGAAAGGGGGGGGGGGGGGGGGGGGGCTGTACACAGTCCACATAAGCAGGTTCGTCATCTTAATTCTACAGAGAGGTAATTATTCATGCTTATGACTTAGGAGACCATGCAATGTAAATTGAAATTACACTGAGGATATATCCTCCTGCAGGGTTCCACATGCAGATCAAATTGAATTAGTTGATTGGAAGCTGAACCCCGATGCACATTCATCAGGTGGTTGCACGATTTCCATCGGAGGCCGTCACCTCTAATTTCCTACGCGGCGGCTGAATTCCTCGGTACATTCTTGTACAGAGACATACATTAAACCAAGACAGCCCCCCTCTGAGACATCGCCAGTGACCCTGTCAAGACTGTAAACACACTTCTGCCCGTGTAGACAATTACATCATTTGTTCCGTGCAGAGTTTTTATTAAGCAGCCACCTCACCAGCAGAGCACTGACGCACACTTCCAAAGATTGTGGCACCAAGTACATGCTGGTGGGGCTGGTGGCAGGCAAAAGAATATACAAAAGCAAAAGACAGACACTCTGTCGCCTGTGGGAAGGGGAATATTTTATCCCATAAGAGTTGGCTCATCTCCCTGTGGGCACTTGTTGCCATAGCAACGGGAGCTGGGAGTTTCCGTCAGGTTGGCTGGTCAGTCGTAGTGGATCACGGGACATGAAAGGGGTCAGTAAGGGCAGAGCAACCTCGCTGCCACCATCATCAACCCGGCTTTCCTCCACACTCCAACTCGCGCCTTCTCAACCTCGTCCACAGGCCTGAGGGACCCTCACCCCCACCTCCTGCCCTTCATGCATCCATACATACCTGGGTCACATGCAGAAATCAACCAACTCGCAGTGTGTGGAATTATTCACCACATCAGTAGTTATTTTAATGAATAATGGAAGCGCATGCTCTTAGGTGCCAACTGGAGCACACTCAGACACTGACCTACATTGATTTATCTCATTTTGAGCTGCATTCATCTGCACAAAAACACTTCCACTTGCCAGACCGTATATCATCACACCTTTTTGTCTATTTATTATTCTATCCAAAGACACATTTCTAGCTTTTTCCCATTTCCTGCCTCACATAAACACACATTTTTCATCTTGACGCACACTCCTCTCGCACACTAGGTCTCAAATGTGCGTAGTCCACCATCTGTCCTGTCCTTTCTCAGTCTCCTCTTCCTTACTCTACTAGACTGACTGTTCAAATCGCCAGTCTGATAGACCACCTACTCACCCAATGTGCATACTTCATAGCTGGAGCTTTGACACATAAAAGAGTAGATCTTGACATTCAGCTCATGGGGGGTCTCGCAAGACACTTAACTGGAGTGTTGTGAAAACACAGAGTGGCGATGGGCGTTTCATAACTGAGGTACAATATTATCTGTGTTATACAGTCGCTGTGTGATCCTCCTCTCTGTGTAGGACTGATATCTTACAGGCAGAGAGATCTCTAATCCTCCGCACCCAGAGAACAGATTTCAGTGGATGTGTGTTTTGCATGTGTGAACAGGTGACATTATCTGTCACCAGGGGAACACGTGGATGTTCAACACAGACTGATGTGAGCACTTTGGATGTTTTCTCCAGGTGTCTGTGAAGACTTACTCTTGACCGTGGCAGTCCTGGTGCAGTTGTAGAGAATAGCCAGCTCTCCGAACACCTTTCCCGGCCCCATGGTGCAGAGCTTCAGGCTCTCCTTCGTCACCTCCACCTTCCCGTCTGAAACATGCACAGAAATAAAGCCATTAAGCATAATGCTTTTCAAATTGCACATTAATTTTTCCTGCCTGATTACCCAGGTGTGTGCAGGGTCCTCTGCTACATTCGATATGTGCAGCAAACAAAGTTTCAGTGATGAAATGGAGTGGATGATGGGTGTCTGAGGGCTTTTGCTTCATTTTTGGGGGCACCCAGCCAGAGTGCTCTTGATCACTGGGCTGGAAAAAGATGAGATTATTTTGCAAAGTGGAGTTTCCAAGGGCTACTTGCCTCTTACCAAGCCTGTGCAGGGTCATGTTTACTAGCAATGCAGCAGCAGCAATATGAGAAAATTCAACTTAAAGCTTAACACTCCATAACTCACAGACACAGTATGGTACGCCTTAAAGGGATACTTAAGATTTTTTGAAGTGGAGTTATATGAGGTGCTTATCCATCGTCAGTGTATTACCTACAGTAGATGGCTTTTGGCATGCTCCCAGTTTTGAGAAGCAAGAAGACAGGAGTACCGCCATGGAAGCTAAACAGTGTACTGCTGAGGAGGGGTGCTGCACCAAAACATATTTTGGCCACCTAAAAAAAATCAATATCAGTTTAACCCTTTGAAACCTGGAGTAACATCACTTACCTCGTGCTGCTTTCAGACGCCTTTCTCATGTCTTTAAACCTATGAACCTTGAGCACACTGGGGCGATTCTTTCAAAGGTCAATGAGAAACTTGGTAAGAAATGTCTCACAAGTTGCAAAAGAAAAAAACAAAAACTTGGGAAAACGAAAAAAGCTTGGAAAAAATATACAAATTTATAATCTTTATTAATGCATATTTTAAATTATGGTACATAATTATTATAATTTTTAAGCATTTTTTCCAGGTAATTTCCTTCACTGCTTTACCTTGCCGTTGGATATCCCTTTCCATCAGGGAACACAGGCTGTTACCCGTGCTTTCTTTTAACTAACCAGACTCCTTTGACAAAAACTATAATTTTACCTCGCAGAACACAGGAGGTGCTGGCCTACTGCTGCCTCAATAAGTTAGTTTGTTTCTGTTATTGTGTGACTTTGATTGGATTTACCAGAGTCACACAATAACACCAAGAAACTAGCTAATCAAGGCAGCAGTAGACCAACAACTCCTGTGTTCTGTGAGGTAAAATTACTGTTTGTAATAGGAGTCTGGTAGCTTATAAGAGAGCATAAATAATGGCTTCAGTTCCCTGTAAGAAAGGGCTGTCTGACGGCAAGGTAAAATAGTGGAAATATTATAAATATAGCATACAATTAAACTGATATTGGGTTTTTTATGTGGCTAAAATAGCTTTTGCTGCTTTCCCCATCCACAGCAGTACATTGCCTAGCTTCCTTTTATTGTTTCACTACACTGACGATGGATAAGCACCTCATACAACCAACTTCAAAAAATACAAACTTTCCCTTTGAGGTCGGTCCTTCACAATGGGTGCTCTTAAATATTTTTACTGCAGCATGTATGGATTTACTTAGTCACCATTCAGATCTGTTTCCAAAGAAAATTGAGCATAGCGTTAGTTCAGGCAGGACACAATGTCAAGCTCAGCTCACATCCCAGCTACATCAGCTAATCTCAAACAGCCCAATCAGCTGATGGAGCAGCTGATTGATGGAAGGGAGTCAGCTGATAGGTTACATGATTCCTTTCTATGCAACCAATTGGCAAATCTCATTCAGGGTGCCCTATTTAAACTGCTCTGGCCTGCCTACTGTTGCTGCTTCCTCTGCAAGCCGCTTTGCAACCCGCCTCCACCCCAGCTCCTCCTTTTCATGCTGTGTCTGACTTATCAATTTCATTTCTTTTTGTCACTGATGCTATCTCTGTTCTGTTCCCGGGGATCTTTGCTACTGCTCTCCCTGTCTTAGGCTTTCAATGTAGGTGCATGGAAGGGCAGGGAGGTTTGCTCTCTCTGCCTCAGGCTTTCCTTGTTTGCACGTGGAAGGGCAGAGAGGTATGCTCTCTCTGCCTTAAAGCTTTCCACGTGGGTGCATATAAGGGTGGAGAGGTGTGTTCTCTTCACTTTAGGCTTTCAAGGTAGGCGCATGGAAGGGCAGAGAGGTGTGGTCTCTCCTCCTTAGGCTTTCTGCGTAGGCGAGAGGAAAGGCAGAGAGGCCCCAGAACAGAGCCATACCACCAAATATAATACTGCAAATGGAAATTAAGTTTTCTGTGACTAAAGTGTTCGTGCCTGACACATATTTGTGCATTGAAAAAGCATTACCTAACATTTCTGGCTTATGAAGAGCGATATTTAACAAATACATAACTTCTGACCTTTTCAGTTTATAATAGGTTTTTGCTAACAAAACTACATGCTAAAAAAACATGACTGCACTGATACAGCAAGCTGACTGGTTGGTATTGTATCCTCTGAGGAACTTATCTCTATTTTTTTGGGTGTACATTTCACCATAGCACAGCCACAAGTGAGCAGTACTGTGTTGAAATATTGAGCAGAGCATATGAATCTAAAATGTTCTTCAACACACTTCATATTGCTGCCTATCTTGTCATTGTCATTTTCCGTTGATCAGTCTGAATTCTGTCATGTTTGTTCACGGATGTAGAGGCTTGTTTACACAGTCAGTTTTCCTCTTAATTGAATACTTTACATAAATTCACAGAGAGCAAGCTTATTTTGGAGAGTATTTGAATTTTATTGCAATATTCAGGATCACATTTGCAAATCGACCTCAGCTGGTCAGCCACGAGATAGAGAAGATGAGTCCAGCAACCAGTGTTTGTATAGGCGCCGTGTGTCACGAATGTCCTTAGTTTTAATAACAATTTACTGTGACACAGCCTTAAGCTTTCAGATACAGAGACATACAGCTCCTTTGACAGCCTGAGTGGGTAAGGAGAAAAGGTTAGAGTTTTGCCCATGCATTCCTGAGGCTTCCTAGTTTGTACATGTCTTTACATTATGCCTCCAATCTGTGAAAGCATAAAAGAAACACGCACATAAAAGCAACTGAACAACACCTGTGTGCTTACGTGCAGCCCGGAGAAGCATTTCCTCTCTCAGGCTTCTTCTTAACATTGTAAGAGGCTCTTTGCCCCCATGACGGAGGGGGTGGCTGTTGCCACTGTGTTTAGACAAGCCTCATCAAGCATGTATACTTTCCGGGAAACTCGGCATTCCAGCGGGAACATAAGTCTGATTCACAGAGAGCAAAAACCCAAAGAAAACAGTTCAAGTTGGCTCGAGGCTACTGATGAAAAATGGCAAGATGATAAGAGCAGACGAGTCATCCTCAGAGGAAACCGTTTGACACGTTATCTTGTTAGAGAGGGCTGTGAACTTCTTTGACAAAAGGCCTCCAAAAAACTTGCCACGTTTCAGGACAAATTATTTTCTCCACTTTGTATTTTTTCTCCACCCCATCGTAACGACAGAGCACCTATTTCGCCACGGTAGACAATACATCATCCATTAACACCCAGCATGAAATGATACATGCAGGGAAAATCTTCAGCTTACTGTCTACTTCCCTGCTGTTTTCACTGCCCATGTTTTACAGCCTTTGTGTGTGTGTGTGTGTGTGTGTGTGTGTGTCTGAGCTCCTACAACTCTCTTCTTTTTCCACTCAAATGGAGAAACAGCTGGAGATAAAAAAAAAACTAACAGGGACATCTCTCCATTTAGCTTTTTAACAATGCAGTGCTTGTGCATCTTTCATTATCGTCAGCTTAAGTATTCATAAGAGTTTCCTTAGATTGATTGAAAAACATGCACAATAAATTCCTTTCTAGTCCCTCGCTCAAATGCTTCTTTCACTTTGCTAATAATGGCTCATAATCACCGGACTGCTCACTTTCAGAAACTTGTTGAGTCTGATAAAGTCGACAACGGTGCTATGCTTTTGAAGCTTGCTCGTCAGTGCACATATTTGAAAACACTCATTTCTATTTTCTGCTCCTTCCAAACAGGCTTGTCGCTTTCATGAACACAAAATATACAACTTCCTGTGCACCTCGGGATTTCTCCCAGGGAAAAAAAGGGAACCCCTGATGCTTGTTTGCAAAAGCGACTGTAAAAATGTTTCATGAACTGAGTATCGCTGAAACAATTTTTACAGCTTTGCAAACTCTATAAAGACCATAATTACTGAGCTCAATGCGCTTCAAGAATTAAGTCCAAAAGAACAGCCGCTGAGAATTGATTGAGCCCAATGAATGTGTGCCAGACTAATCAGTGAACTGTGAGGAGTTAAGATGACTCGTCACCTCTCAAACCCCCCGAGCCCTTATTACGATGTATTAGACCCGGGTGTAATAGATAGAGAATGGATGATAAATAGTTTAGATGGAATCCTCAATGGTTGCCATGTTTTTCCAGCTCCAAGATTGTAAGCGAACAACAATTAAACCCTCTGTGTTTGTGGCCTTTATCTAATCCAGGGGTGTCAAACATGCATCCCGCGGGCCACAATCGGCCCGCCAAAGGGTCCAATCCGGCCCATTAGATGACTAGAGTAAGAGGTGCCAGGTTTCAGGAGCAAGTTAAACAATGCCTACTTCATGTAAAATTCTGCTTCAGAAGCTTCTCCACCCTGAGCAGGATACAGCTCTCTGATATAACAACGAATACCTACTGTGACCATGTTTAAAGATACTAAACATTGTGCAAAATATTGTCAATCGGCAGCTTCAGCTCAATAGAATCTGTATCAGGAAATGTGTGACTACAGTAAATGCACATGTGATGGCAGTGAGAAGTAGACTGACTGAATGTGGAAAAACTGAGACATACTGTTGAAATTGCACTTATTTTTCTTAAGACATCTCAGACTGTTCATCTGTTTGTAAAAGGGATGAACGTCTACAGAATGTACTTGTAATTCTTTACACACAAAAGGGAAAATATTGGAGCTGATGTTACTTATAGTTTATTGTGCGATGGTTTCATTGCTCCAGCCCATCTGAGATCAAACTTGGCTGCGTGTGGCCTGTGAACTAAAATGAGTTT